TTCTTTAACTTGCACACTAACATTTTTTTTCCTTTTTTAAGAAATCCTTCTGGATGTTGCATGTACACTTCTTCTTCAACTTCACCATATAAAAATGTTGTTTTACATCCATTTATTCAAGTTCCAAATCAGGCAATGCAATAAACCCAAGCACCAACCTTATGAAGTCTAACTTGACAACCGGAGCAAATATTTCAAGAAAGTCGACCTTCCTTTTGTGCAAACCCCTTTGCAACTAGCCTTGCCCTCTACCTTTTCAAACTTCCATCAATCACTTTTTTTATTTTAAACACCTACTTGGAACCAGCTGCTTTTCTAGTTTTTGGTAACTCTACCAAATCCCAAGTCTTGTTCTTAAGAAGAGTCAACATTTCATCTTCCCTGATCTTTTTCCAAGATATAGAATCATCCTCTTCCATAGCTTCTTGGTAAATGTTCGGTTCTTCATTCATAACAATTAAAACATACAGTACTTCAGGATCCACATAGTCCTTAAACCGCTCGGGTGGATGAATTACCCTTGGAGATATTCTTGTCATAGATGAGGCAACTTCTTCATAAGAATCACTTGGTTCACCAACTTGCTTTTCTTCATCAATGACTTCTTCATTGATACTTGTGGGTGCTTCTTTCGGCATATGACATTCACTAGATGATGGGACATAAGGTTGAAAATCAATTTCTTAGGTGTCATTATGAAATTCTTTCATTTCTTTAATATCGTTTCCTACACCTTTTGTCAACACAAATGACTCATCAAAATGCACATCTCGGCTTGTAATTATCTTTCGAGCACTTGGATCCCATAACCGGTATCCTTTCACACCTTTGGCTATATCCAACAAAAATGCATTTCTTTAATTTTGGTTCAATCTTATTTCTTTGTTAACTAGGAATTAAAATATAAGCATCACAACCAAAAATCTTTAAATCGAAATAATCACAAGGAGTTTCGAACCATACCTCTTGGGGTGTTTTCTCTCCCAAAGCTGTCGAAGGTGATCGATTGGTGAGATAACAAGTCGTCATCACGGCTTTGACCCATAGCTCTTGTTCCAATCTGGCATTGCTCAACACGCTTCTTGTTCGCTCCATCAATGTGCGATTCATCCTTTTCGCAACACTATTTTGTTGGGGAGTGTAAACCATGGTGAAATATCTCTTGATTCCTTCATCTTTACAAAATTTTGTAAACTCATCGGAATTGTACTCCTTCCGATTGTCGGTGCGAAGTGTTTTGATGTGTCACCCCATACTCTTCTTAACTTTGACCTTAAAATGCTTAAAGGAAAAAAATCCATCAATATTTTATTGAAGAGTGAACACCCATACCTGCCTTGAGAAGTCATCTATAAAAGAAATACAATATAATGCACCACCACATAACATTATGGGTGAGGGCCCCCATAAATCCGAGTGAACATAATCAAGTATTTTCTTGCTTGTATAGCTTCCGGCTTTGAAAATTTGTCTATGTTATTTCCCATAGACACAATGCTCACAAAATTCGGATTCCCCAAATTTTATAGTGGGAATCAGCTTCCTCTTTATTAAAATCTCCACACCATTTTCATTCAAGTGGCTCAACCTCCTATGCCATAAGCGTAGTGGAAGATCACTACTCTCCACTACTAAATTTGCCGCATCATCAATGGAGCTTCCCAATAGCTTTTACAAGTTCCCAACTCTACCTATGATCACAACAAGAGCACTCTTAGATACTTTGAGAATTCCCCCTTGTCCGGTAAATTTATAGCCATGGAAATCCAATAAAAAAAAAGAAATTAAAGTTTTTTTTGAGTCCGGTATATGTCGAACATGCTCAAGTGTACAGATACTTCCATCATACCTCCTTAATTTCACTGTGTCAATCCCAACTATTCTACTACTTGATTTGTTTCCCATCAACATGGAACCACCATCACATGGTTCATATGAACTAAATTATGACTTGTGTGGACACATATGATGTGTAGCACCATTATCCAAAATCCAATTTTGATGAAATTCGGGATTGCTACCCATGACATAAACCTCTTTTTCAATAAAACCGCATGTATATTCTTCCACTTGATTTACCTGATTTTTGGATTCATTGATTTCTCTTGCTTTTTCTAACTTTGTCATTTTCTTTTTGTACAATTTTTTTTCATGTCTCACTTCACTACATCCCCAACAAACAAACTTGTTTCCTCGGCCTTTAGATTTAGATCAACCTTTCGACTTGGATCTAGAAGAATTTCAAGAGGAATTACCTCTCTCACTTGAACGACCCATTGAAAAGTGCACTTCCGATTCCAATTCTCCAATAGATGCATTTTTTCAGAGTTCATGGGCAAGCAAAGTATTAGTCACCGTACTTAAATCAAGTGAACCCTCTTTAGTACAACTTAATGTTGTCACTAAATTATCATAAGATTTCGGTAAATTACATAACAAACTTACCGCCTTGTCCTTATCTTTCATTTTTTCACCAACACTATCAACTTCACAAAAAGTGTTATTGAAAGTGTTCAAATGAGCCCCTCTTTCATCCTTAAAGTAAAGAATTTTCTCTTTAATAGAATATAATTCGTAAGAGATTTGTTTTAATAAACATTTTCCAATTTCTCCCACAAGCCCTTTGTCGTCTTCTCTCCCACTATATTGAATAAAACCTTGTTTGCTAAGCACGATCGAATTGTAGCCATAGCCTTAAGGTCAATTTCCTCTCAATCCTCATTAGTCATATACTCCAATTTCTTTTCCTTTTCGAATAATCTTTTGTATAACCCTTGTTGAACCAAAAGATCATGAAATTGAATATTTCATATCTCAAAATCATGTTGTCCATCAAATTTCTCCACCTCAAACCAATTACTCGCCATTTTCTAAAATATATTGTACAAAACCTAATGCTTTGATACCACTTGTTGAAGATCCAAATACCCGAAACCCCAATTTAATTGATCAACGAATATCACACACTCAATACCAAATATGTAAAATCGATAATCCAATAATAAGCTCAATGATCGTGTGCAACAATTTAAGAAAATAAATTAGAGATGAAAAACATAGTCATAAGAGAAAATTAGAGAGACAAACCACAACACCAATTTTACGTGGTTCACCCCGTAGGGCTACGTTCACGGGCAAGCCGACAAGTATTCAACTATCAAAAAAGAAATTTACAGGGGTTACAGTATTACCTCAAAAGGAGAAAAATTGATGAAAAAAATATCACCAAGAATACGTTTATTGTGATCACCAAAAATATGATTTACCCAGATTCACTTCAGATGACCCAAGAACATGAGCAACACAAGCTCATATCATTTCTCCCAAAAATAGGACAAGAAAATTCTTCTTCACTTCCTTCCATTTCTAAACACAACCCAATGAAGCCCTAGTGTATCAAAAACCCATTTGTTTTGGCTTTTATGCAAGCCACCTAGCCAAAAAACCCCAAAACAAATGATAAACGATAAAATCATCTAACAAGTGACTTTTCTATCACCATTCATCAGTCCAACCTACTATTTGCCCCATAGTTGGCCAGGCCTTGGTGGTGTGAGGACCATGGCATGTCCAGCTTGGCTCGATCAGGTTAGACCCAAGCCCAAGCCCAAGGTGGAACATAGAGAACATGCTGGTCTAGCCCGGCCCTAGGCAAGTATAATGAGAGAAAATTCAAAAAAATTGATTTTCTTTTAAGCAAACAAAAATCGTTCCTAAAATTTTATTTTTTATTATTTAATATTGTCGACCGAGTGTTTTAGTTTCATAACACTCATTAAACCAACAATTAATATTCAGTTATGAATCCATATGTAATATAAGCGTGCATTATCGTAATAAGGAAGAAGGGGAGGGAAAGATTGGAAGTCGGACGGAGTTAAGAGAGAGGAGGAAGTATTGATTTGCGGGATCAAATTTTAAATTAAAAGTTCATTTTCAAATATTATGGGCATTTTTATCGTAAAGTATACTGAAAAGTGTGAAAAATGGGATAGGGGAAGTGAGAGAAAAAAGTTTTTTTGGTTGCCGTACGGAACGTATTTTGAGGAGAATGTTATACGTGGGGGATTTGGTAAGTTTCCCCTTTTTAGTATATAATGCATTAGTATATAATGCATTGTGTTGAAAGGATATAAATAAAGTTCCCTATTTATATGTTGTTAATAGCATGCTGCAAGGTGAAGTGAAACATATTATGCATCACCTCCTAGGTTCGAGTTAATAGGTTTCCAGAGCTGTTCTCTTTTAAAAGACGATGGATACTTTGTGTCTCTCACGACGACATTTCACTTCTTAAGAAAATTAAGGAAATGTTGATATAGGCAAAAGAGTAAACTAGATACCTCTAAATTGTATTTCTAGGCGTACCTTTCCTTAAATACTTTTTATATCACACTATTAATCCTATCATTGTTTATTTTTGCATGCAAAAAAAAATGACTATTTTAGATGGAAATATCTTTCATTTTAACCCAAACCATAATTCCAAAATATGAGGCTCAACATGTGCGGGACCGGATTGGTTCGTGACATGCAGTGCCAGTCCTACACAAAATGTCGCTGGACCAGCTTTCGATAATCACCTTTTGAGTAAGGGCCGGCTTTTATCGAAATTCTGGCCGTCTAGCACAAATCCGGCTTCTACATTCAACTTATGTTGGTCCGAAACATTCTAACTTTGAGAGAGAGTATGAAACGTTGGTTAAAATGATGGTATTTTGATTAAAAAAAATAAGGCTTTTCTTGTGTGAGAGGGCAGTTCCGGGCCGGGTCAGGCCCGCGGCCATATCGGTCTGTCCCGTAGTGGTCCAGACCTCCTTTTGAATTTTTTAGTGTGGCGCGGCCTGCTGCCAGCCGCACGGGAAGTATTTGTATAGATCAATATGATTCACGCGTCTAACACGTGTTTACACAGGACCTCACCCGATAACGACAGTAAAGCGTCCATGCAGCGCTGTGCAGAGCCCTTCGGTATGCTCCAGCCCTCTCCCGCCCCTCCCCTCCCCTCTCTCCCCGTTATGTAGAAATGTGGTTGCTCCTTTTCTGGTTTCAGATCGGGTGAACAACGCAAAAAGAGATGTTCAGGTATTCCCAACCTCCAATACGTATTTATTTTGTGTCTTTCGTATCTCTTTCCTACTTTTTCAGTGAAGTGAGGTAGACTGTTTCTCAGGCACAGTTAACCTAATTTTGATGCTTGGCTTTTGGCATTTTCTCATTTCGTTTCTTATTTCTTCTCTGTCTAGAGAAATATGTAGGTTCTCTCTCTTTAGAATCGCCTCGCCCCCCTAAGGTGCTTAGACTCTCTCTCTGTACCCTATTGAGTAGAGGAATTGCATGCTAGCATATAGGCTTTCCTCTCTGAGTGTATTAGGTGTGTCTTGCATCGTTGATCTCTTTATATGCTATTTTATATTAGTTATGCTCTCATTTTTCTCCATAAAGCTTCTGGTTTAACTTATTGCAATCTTGCATAATTTTTTATCTCATTTATTATTTGCAGTTTCGTGTGTGATATTAATTCTTGATTTAGTTTTGGTGTATGCATTTTTGTTGTTTTTAATTTGTCTTTCCTACCCATAAAAGAAGAAGTGCACAGTAGTATACAAACTGCATTTTCCTCTCTGAGTCTAATAGCTTTTTGCTCGTACATTATGTCATTCCATCTTATTTTACCCTTCAGTTTTGCCCTTATGGTTATTCACTAGTTTTTCCATTTGGTTTTTATATCGTTCGGTCATTTCAACGAATTTCATTTCTTGGAGAGCGCTTTCAACTTTTGTGGTGATGGGAGCTATGTATCGGATGTTCTTGCTAAGATTGTTGATTCTGAGCGGCTATTAATTTGGGGTTAATTCTTTGTTTCTATGAATGGCTTTGGGAGCGTTTTACTCTTTTCCACACTATTCTTCTGTGTTAGAGGATTCTGCTCTCACGCTCTCTTACTTGAATGTTTTTCTCTTTCACGTTGTTCATTTGGTTTAATTTTGAAGATTCGTCTCTCCACACTCTAAATGGAATGAAAATTTCTAGAGAATTTCTGATTGCGAGCTTCTACCTGTTATCAGATACACTTCCTGCTTCGAGGTTTCAGTTCAGTCCTTAGAGTGAAGTGAGGCGAATCTATGCCAGAATTTTGATAATAATAGTATACAATAGTAGAAATGAGCCCGAATTTTCCAAAAATATGGTAAAAATCCTGAAATGATGACAAATACCCAATTTCATAAAAAACTTTGGAAAATACACTTCATTTCGGACATATCTATTTCAAATACCTAATTTAATTTTGGATTTTTATCTTTTGTTTTTAGTAATACACTTGAAGACTCTGTCAAATTGACTGAAGTGCTGAAGCACTTTCTTTCCTGGTCAAACAAAGAGCACTCTGAAGTGAATCTGATAACATTGTTTGAACAGTTTCACAAGTGAATGTTAGGGTTTAGAGAATCACTTAACCACCCATTTATGTATAAATTCAATTTTAGTTCCCCCCTAGGTAGAAGAACATTGGTTTTCTGTGGTCAGATTTGTTTTAAGTTGATATCTGTATTTTTCCTAAGTTTTTGTTAGTTTGCTGGGACCTACTGTGTCTGATGATCATTCTACTATGCATGCAACTAGCTACCGACCTACCTAAGAGGACCACTGGGTGTGTTTAGTTGAATGAAAGCCATTCTGTAACAATAATAATTTTATATTGTACATTATCAAATAGTAATAATAAATTTATATTGATTGTGGTATTTGAGAATTATATCTTGAATTGATAATGCTATCTGGGGATATATAGCTACCTGAGAAAAAATCACATGGCACATTGAATTAAGAAAACTACACAGTATTTATTGAATTTTAAAAGCTTTACTTTTATGGCACTAATTTCCCTTTTCAGTGATGGTAATTTTTTGTGTTGAGAGCAGGACATTTTTTCAATCCCTTTATTTGTGGTGTTCCTTGAGATACGACTTTGTCAATCCAATGTTCAAGCATTCCCCCTTGATGTTATTGTCATATGAATGTATCGAATGCAGTTCACTTCTTGGTTGATTTTTTCTTCTATGGTCAAAAATTGAAAAGTAACTTATGACCACAAGTTCAAGGTTACATTTTAAAATATACTAACACGTCAAATTTTCACTTTTGATGTCGTGTTTCTGGTAACCCTCCACCACATTTCACAGGAATCTCATTACTTTTTCGTTTACCCTCATACATATACCACTTTCAGACATACAGCCAAAAGCACCCTTTCTGATATTGACTATGAATTAAATGGATAAAAAAGTCAATAGTCACTGGGATCACCACCAAGGTGTCCATTCTGCTATGGAGTCTCCCTCTTGTGCTCCAATAAAGAGAATCTCACTTTGTGATTTTTAAACTTTGGAATCTAGATCCTTCTTGTTAGGGATTGTGATCTTGAGTTGCACGGGATCCAGTTTTTCTAGTTGTATATTGCTTGTCAACTAAAACAAGAAATGCTACTAAAGTTGTATATGTTCATCACTCTTTCTTCTGGTTTGTCCAATTGATTTACAATTGGATAAGTTTTTTTTATAATAACTTACTAATAGGTTTAGTTTGGGAAAGTAGACTACAATCCCTATAGATACGAGGGGCTTTACTATCCAATGTATGATAAGAATGTTCCTCAACTATTACAAAAAAATTAAATGTATGGTTTGGAAATTAATGAAGAAATACTTTCTCTCAAATTTTGGTTGGAGATGCACTCTGGGTGTGATTCTTTTGAATAGCTTTTTATGATCTTTAAATACTCATTTTGTATGTTGTCTGTTGAGGGTAATTACTAGTAAATCGTAAATGTTATTTTTACCAATATCTACAGCTTTCGTAAAAATGTGTGTTTGCATTGTTTTCTACTAAGATGATTCTCAGGAGAAACTATTTCATTGTACTTCCCTAAGGAAAGTGTTCTTTAACAGTAGGATTTTCTTGTCTGCTTTTTCCACGAGAGGGTTTGTTAAAATACTCCAGTTGATAAGCTAAACTGTAGTTCTCAGGTTTCCAATTAAAACAAGATTTTCTGATTTTTTTGAAATCCAGTAAAAACGATTTTCAAACAATCAAATTTTTTGTTGGAACTGATATAAACATGTATTTATGTTTTTTCAAAAAGGGTCTCTAAAAACGCTTTTTCCCTATTTCCATGCCCTCCAAAAGTCAAAGTTTTTTGAAAATTCTCTTATCCTCATGGAGATAATATATTTGAATTTTGATTTTCAGATAAGATTACTAATAGTGGGATTAACTGAAGAATTTTGATTTGATCCAAAATTTCATAAAGAGTCTTACCAATATATTTCCAAAAAAGTATTTCAAATAGTCACCAACGTATTTCAAATAAAATAGAAATTCTCCCAAAAGAAGTAGTATTCCGCAAAAAACTAGTAGAGGTAGTGGAAGAGACCCAATGACGAAACTTCTTTTTCTCTAAACGACGAGCACCATGGCAGATAGGAAGAGAGAGTAGTTCAGTCACAGTGGAAGATTCAGATGGCTAGGAATTGGGGGGTGAGTTTCAAATGTTTTAATTTGCTTATATAGATTGCTTGGTACTAATAAGAATTTTGCCTCTCTGTTTAGATAGTTTGATTACATTTCAACTATTTTGCGTTTTTATTCTTTCATTGGTGCACACAGTCCTAATCATAAGTGAAACATGTATTTCAAAATATGGATATTGAGATGCTTGGCACTAACCAAATCACCTCACAATAACTCTTTTTAGTTTGCTTTGATCAACCGGAGATCTTCAAAAAAAAAATACACTCAACAAGAATGCCGTGCGGTTTCTTTGGCTCTGGTACTGTCACTTGATGCAGTTACTGCAACTCATTTAAGTACTGTACCAGGTTCTATGATGGTGCGCAAAAGATTATTTACTTTGTGGAAGGGCTTCAGAAGGGACTGCAACAACCACATCTGCTGGTGCCACAGGAGATCAGGCAAGTACGGAGAGAGAGAGAGAGAGAGAGAGAGAGAGAGAGAGAGAGAGAGAGAGAGAGAGAGAGAGAGAGAGAGAGAGAGAGAGAGAGAGAGAGAG